CTAATTCATCATGCTCTTTACAATTGCGCAGCTGTGTTTGAACGCGTTTCGACGGTTTTTTCGTTCGATTCCCCACGATCTTTTCTATTAGCAGTTTCGCTTAGGAGGAATCCAATGTAACATTGAAATATCGTGTGTGCGTGTGTGTTCGATTTTTTGGTTGGTGGAGAAAATGGTCGAGAGAGAAAAACGAAAAGTGAAGAAGAAGACGAATTTCGCGACGCGCCGTAGCAGCACACCGTTGCTGGTACAGTGTTTGTTTTTCTTTCGTTTAGGGCAAATTTAGCAAATCTCGCGTAACATTTCACTTCTCTTCGTTTTTTCTTCTCCTTAACGCGAGATACGTGTTTAATGGTGTCAAAAAGAAGAAAATAGGTAGAATTTTTTTCGCCGTGATTTACATAGACGAGGAACAGCGTTCTCGTGAATAAGCATTGTCCCCGAAGTAATACAGTAGATATCCACCGTTAAACAGCATACTCGCCCTCCCGCTCCCCGTGAACCCCAGACGATTTATTTTTGTAAAACTGTGTCGGTTCTAATTTGCGTCGCGCGCTGTGTCAGTTTTTTCCAGCGTGACGCGACGTGTGGCATATATCTGTGCATACATTTACGGACTTCTTATCATAGATTGTGATATTTAACTAATTAAACTAATTAGTCAACGTTATTCTAAATCGTGCGTATGCGTTAGTGAAAAAAAAAAAACAAGTAAATAGAAGGAAAGAAGAATAAAGAAGGAAGAGAACGATAGGCGGTGGAGTAGTATCGTACAGAAGAAGAAAAGGGGGAAAAATTCGTGATCGAATCTCTACGATCGAGCACCGCCCGTTTTCTTCCCTGAAGAAAACGTCTATTAGGAAGAGAAATAACGGAAAGAAACGTTTTGCGCTTAGTTCGGCTGCGATTCTCGCCGTTCACACACCGTAGGAGAATAATTATAACGAAAAAAAAAAAAAAACAACAACATAATTCGCTCTGTGTATCGTGTTTGTAGGCGTTCGGAGGTGTTGTTCTAATTCGTTGAGTTTTCGCTTTCCCGCGTCGATTATTCGTGAAATTGTTCCGTTTCATCGATGATGAACCGCCCGTAGTAGGGGTGAAAATTGAAAGAGAGAGAATGTAGTGTAAATGAAGACGGATAGATAGAGAAGAGAAATGAGATGAATTTTGCGGAATGAGAAATAGGAGAGAAAATTAGTCTAAAAAGAACACAGGGAAAAAGACGTGGATGTACGTCGCGTCGAGCCGACGAAGGGACGTTAATTAATTTTTCGTTACCGTGCAGTATATATATATATAAAAAACAGAAGAAAATAAATGAAATACTAGCGACGTTATCATTGCCGCCATTAATTCGACGTGAACGAAAAGAAGAAAAAAGGAGGAAGAATGAACGAGCGTCGGAGTCATGTCGATCAACACGAGGCGTTATTGTACCTTTTACTCGCGGACGTGTGTAATCGAACCGTTGTTGCGACGTACAGAATCGATCGATAGATAAATACCACTTGGTTGCAGCGTGTATATCACCTCACTTTCTCATTCACCGTATAAACGACTACATCGCCTTACGATTAATAGCCATAAATTTCGCCTTAAGGATCCCATTAGCGACTGTACTGTAGTGACCAGCGAGAGTTTCGCGTAAAAATATAGACTCTTCGAATGGGATTTCCATCGATCGAACTGTTGCGCCGTCGTCGACGTGGATTTTTGTTTTTAGATATAGAAATTGCAAGAAGCCGGTAAAGGGAGTTTAGAGAATAGAACGTAGCAATAATTATCGTCTCGACGTGGATAAATGAAAGAGATCGAGAAAAGAAGAAGAAGAGAGTAAAGAGTAACACGAGACGTTTTAACGATCGACATGGCAATGTAATATCGTCGTTTACTAGTAATCGTCGATAAAATACTGATCTTCTCGGCTACCTGAAACCGTGATAATTTGTACATAAATCGCGTAAGCAATTACCCACGTACCTATGGTATCAATGAAATCTATATAGGTATATATTATATATATACATATATGATTCTATATATAAATATATGAGATAATTCTATCGAGAAGTTGAAGGGAAGGGAAGAAAAAGATGTTAGGTGAAGAAAAAAATTCGCAGGGCGTCGAATGCTGTTTAGCCGCTCGTCTCCGAGTGTACCTTAAAACTGTTGCGTATTTGTGAGAGAGAGAGAGAGAGAGAGAGAGAGAGAGAGAGAGAGTGAGTAAAAAAGAAAAAAAAGAAAGAAACAACATAGGCCGTATATTTAACGATACACGTGTACGTATAGCGTGTGAATATCTCCTGTACATAACAAGTGCCCTGTGCATGCTTGTGGCAAAAATCACGAAATGCTACGTGCATGCGCGAAATATGTATGATCTTTTTTAGACTACTACTACTACTACTATTACTACTACTACCGCTACTACAACAACTACTACAACAACAACAACTACTACTATTACCACCATTTACGTACCACACGTTAGTGTTCATCGATCGATGTTATTTCGCGCGAGCTTCGAGCTAATTTTCGAGCGATTCGAGGCTGTAAATATTAATTCAACAACCACAACAACAACTAATGGTGAAACAGTAATTAACAGTATATCGATCATTACACACCGAACGAAAACAGAGAAAGAAAGAAAGGAGAAAAAGGAAGAAATTCTATCTAACGGTGATAATACGATCGGTAGGATAGATTCAGCGTAATGAAGATACCCCGATTGATACGAAGAAATTAATTAAGATCTTCTGATGTGATTCTTGTTTTTTTCGTGATCGTTCGGAAGGAAGATACATCTTTTCTTTGGTTTTTCTTCTTTTTTTTTTCTCTTTTTTTTTGAAGAAGAACAACTCGCAGAGCAATAATACAACACGGTCCACGATTTAAGCAAGCGAATGCACAGCAATAATAGTAATTTCTCGGAACAGTAAATAAGAAC